AACTCGGAGGCGAGGTGCGGCAAAGCATTGGCGAGCTATCGTCCTGGCGATAAAAACAAGAGTAAAACTCTCTTGAGTAAATTGCAGCCCTGGAAATTGAGTTATTCCACTGCAGTGAGAACGCTAATTTGCGAGAGTGGCTGTCTGGCGCGGAAACTGCAGCGTTCGAAACCGCCACCCTAGCTTTTTGCCTGGGCTGGAAATAGCGTGCGCCGTGGAAGTGGCGCCAGTAGTTTTCGCCGCCGATTACATCAACGGCTGGCGAACACACCAGCTGTAATTGCTCCATCATCGATTTCAAGGCGTAAAAAAATCTGACTCATTTTAATTAGTGTGGAAGGACGGTAGCAAAAAGTGCATGTTAAATAGAAGAAATTTATGAGGCTTTCGACAAGCAAAAGGGTGGAAGCGTTATGGGAGCGACTGTACTTTTATTTTGAGGGCCCGTCGAGATTTATACCAATTTGGGTAGCACCCTTCCTGCTGAAGCACCGAAAAGGGCGCGGCGCCCCCACCCCACCTCGGAGCACACATAAACGATCAAATATTTGTGAGTGTAAATGCCGGCGGAATGTCCCAAAGTGCACCCCAGAGTTTTGTCATTATTAGAGAGCTGCAGAATTGAGTGTTTATTATTGTTATGGGGCGAAGAAGTGCAGTATGTGTGTGGGGCGCGGCGGTAATTTTCCTTTCTCTCTCGCTCGTCGGGCTGGAGAGGAGACTGCATTTGATTTATGGATTCATCGGCCGTAAAGAGGCCCCGAACTCGCTTAACGGCCCTTGTCGGATGGGAGCCAGTCTTTCCAATCATAAAAATTCATTTTTTACTGTCCATCATCGCCTGCATTTTATGGAGAATGTAATTCTGTGTTTTTTATAGCGAGTCAATATGCAGAATAAGGAATACAATATAGAAGGATTTAAAATTTTTCTTACAATTTGCAAAGATTTTTAATTCATATGTCTCAAGAAAAACGTTTCGTTTTTTTAACGTTTCCATCATACAAGAGTGAAAAATAATGTAAATTATATTGTTTTTCTTCTTTTGCAGATTAAATTTTTTAATAAATTAATCAAAATATTTGAATTTTATTCTTCTCTTGAAGAGGAGCATTGTTAAAAAAATTTCACTCTGTAGCAAAAAATTAATTATACAACTACTACATACAATTTTTGAAATTTTGAACGCTCTTCTCTATCTTGACACCATAAATCATTCATTCTTTTGTTTCAATATTAAAAATATTAAATTATAATTTTTTTTACGTAGGTTTTCACGAATATAATACAAATATTATTGAACCTCCATAACAGAAAATTAAAAACAAATGGCATAGCAACTCAATTCGTGCCATACTAAAACTTTTCAGCCGCAGTTAACTTTTAAATCGATAAAAATACGGCATTGTTCGCCCAATTGCAATTCAAAGTGCCCTTTTAACATGCCAAAAATACACATATTACATGTAGGCTGAGAGGCGGCAGACGTTGGCGTGCGGTTGGGCAGTTTTGAAACTTCACCGCACACACAACGCTGCTGTTTCCAGGTCGGTTCTAGGCCGTGGAAAAGCACCACCCAGACTTTTCTCTTTTTTTTCTATAGACCGACAGTCGTTGTCGGCCGTTGTCGGCAGACAGTCTAATTTAATGGCACGGTGGTTTTCCGCAGACATCCATCTCGCGGGGCTGAAATTCATTCCTCCCGTGGGAGAGCCGTTAGGCATATGAATTCAATTATCGGAGAATTACTTTGGAAACACTGTCGCCAATTGGCCGACCTAATGAGCACCATAAAATGCAGAGATAAACTCTAGTCATGAGAGATGTAGGTCGCGGACGAAAAGGCAATTACCCTTTGCCGGTCTTGGCGAGTGAAAAATTGGCGCTTCGAGAAAAATGTCACAGACAGAAACAACCTCGTCTCTCGTCTGCTGACATTTATCATACAAAAAGGGTTGCCCGTCGGGCTTTGTTAGTTTTTTTTCTCGTAATTTCCTCTCCGCACCGTCTGTCTGGCTTGATATTCAAATTATGTGTCCGCGTGAATACGTTTTAAAGGTGGTTTTGAGGTTTGCGAAGCCTGATAAAGTCTCGTCAGGGATTCGGTGTGTATCAAGTGACTAAATCCTGCGACAAAATGTGACGCCTGTTGACGATCTTTTGTCTATTCTGGATTAAATTTCATTTCCTTCCTTCAAAGTGTTGAAAGGCTTCACCTTTTAAGGACTAAATCTTGTTGTTTGTGTTGTAAACACGAATATACGCAGTTCATTTAGTATATTTGTTGTTATTTAAAATTACGATTTATTTTGTAATTGTTTGGTAGAATCATTACAATTATTCTTTTCTCTGATTTTTGTAATCATGGTTATAGATTGAATATGAAATATTATTTATATTTTCGTTATTATATTCAAATCATATCATTATATCTAGAGCTAAAACGCCCTCTTTTATGCTGGTTTTATGTATTAAAATTAAAAAAGATGCTGGTGAAATTGACATTAGTGAAGGCGAAGCAAATTTTTTGGACCACCTGGGCCTAAAGCATTGAATAAATTTTTTATGTGCGATTATGACATAAATAATATTTTACATGGAAGTTTTAGGAAAACATTTAAATAAAGTAGCCATTTGGAAATTTTCATTACAATAAAATGATTGAAATTCTTCGCAGCAAGTGTCAACTCTGAAAATAAAAGAGCCAGCCAGCCAGCAGCGTATTAGAGAAGCGAAGACCATGCAAAATAGGCGTGACAACTGTCACCATAAATTCCGGCCTAATATTCCATTGATTATGCGGGAAGTATAAATTCCGCCGGGCTGTCATGTGTTTTCGGCGAAACGCCGGACAGCCGGCGCGCTTTTTTTCGCTCCCTCGGCAGCCCCAGAGCGGCAGGATATTATATGATATCGGAGCTGTTGTTTGTTATTCCTGCTTTTAAAACTTGGCTCACGTTTTTATGAACTTTGCGAAGTTTGACAATTTCAAAGTTGTGGGAATAAGAGAGACACGATTTCAACTTTTCCTCGCAACTGCTGAGGGATAAAAATGAGACCCTTTTTGCTCTTACAAAATATTTAGTGCTTTGCATTTGTCGGCGCAACTTTGAAAGTCATACAACGCAACTTACGTGACCCACAATTAAATTAGAGAATTTCCATTTTTCATCAGAGACTTGCTCCCCTTTGTGTAATTTGGCATTCTGGCCCACGAGTCGGCCAAAAATAAACGTGTTGCTTCATTCCAATGAATTGCGCAAGTAAAGTTGTGACGGGCGAACGGGTCGTTAATCCGCGCGAAAATACTCTCGCCCTCGATTATGGTACCGAGAGGAATAAAACCTGCTGCAATTGCGCGTGTTGTCCAGATGTTGCGCCTCCTTTTAATCTGATCGCCGGCTGGTTCGCCCACTCGAGAGCTATTCTCAAATCAGATTCGATTTCGGTGTGCGTGCAAAAATCTCTCGTCCCCATTCAAACCCTTTCCCACTAGCTGAAAAAGTGCCAACGCAGAAATAGAATATACCACACGGGGGTGCAGTTTGGTTTTATTTTTCAATCCACTCGTTGTTCTAGCCTTAGCACATTGGAATTTATTTTTTTGCGGCGTGTTTGTGATGCGAATGGATAATGATGCGTCGCGAAATGGGATAAGCATAAATATATATAGGACTTGCCTTTTTTTTTCTTTCAAAGAGGATTTGCAACAAAGTGAAAATGCCGCCGTTAATCCTGTTTTCTCGGTCTTTGCAAATCTCTTTTTCCTCTTCAATGGGCTTAATTCGAAGAGCGCGTTCTTCAAAAAAGCCGCCGCTAAAAATCATGCATTCACCATACGGCGTTATTAGTAATTCTCATCCCCAGCAGGTAACCGAGAAGTGGTTAAGTGATAAAACAAACGAGACGCAGACGGCTGCTGAATATTCAAGAGCAAGACGGGTTGCAGTCGACTCTTATATGGACATGATCTTTGTTTAAGATTCCATCTTTCAATTATTTCCTGTGCGTCTGCGAGAGGTTAACGACTTTTAGGGGAGAACGCACCATCAACGAGGTGCATAGAAACACCGGCGTTTTATAAACGATGCTGAGCACTAGATTTATGGCCCATAAACTTTATAATTTAAATTTCTTGCTAAAAAAAAGCAGGTTAAAGTTTATTTAAAAATTGAATAATAATTCATTTAGCTGAATTTTCGTCATAAGACTATTGCAAATATTTATGAAATTGATAGATAAGGGGCAGCCATTAAATCTTTTGATCTCAGCACATCAAAATATGCAAAAGTGAAATGAAGCGAGGCGGCGTTGCAATTAATCAGCCGAAATCCTAAATCAGAGAGAGTTGTCACCTAATTGAGGCTGAACAGCCTCGAAACAATGGTTTCCGAGACTGCTCAGATGTTTATTTGTAAACATGAGGCGGCGAGCGCTCTGACATTCTTGAACCCTCGGACCGAATTCCCTCAACAGGCTCCGCGCTGTTTGTCTTGCCGCCTAGGCGCGTTTTATTTTGTGCCAGTTGAGAGATAAGTCGCATTGTCTCCGCACTCTCTCCATCCATTGTTTCCGCCAACAAAGGGGTTCGCCTCCTAGATTTATGCGTTATGCAGCCGGGCTGGAAGATGCAGGCAATTTGTCAGTCTGGCCATTGCGCGTTGATAATACCGAGTCTCGGCGGATTTGATATCTGCTGGAGGGTGAAAAATTGCGCTGCACACGCTCCAGCGGAAAGTGCAATATGTTGTATACGATCCTCTGAGAGGGAAATATCAAGCGATTGCATCTTTTGCTTCGTTTCATTTAATATATAGGAAAAAGAAAGCAGACCCATGAATTTATAGCTTTGCTGGCAGATTTCATTTGATTGATTGAAGCAATTTTAGGGAACGAGTCGCTCATGTCCGCACTAAACCCCTCACATTCTTGATAAGCTGCCAATTTATAATTAAATAAATTTGGTCACTTTAATTAAAATTGATTTAATTTTGTTGCAGTACTCGCCAGCTCAGAGCCAGACTACCTGGACGACAATAATGACTATGACGAGGAAGAAAACGAAGAAGAGGAAGGAGGTACCGGAGACATTCCAATCATTTCCAGCAAATCAAGAGATTTGCAGCCCTTGGAAAAGACCGACGTCGTGTTGCCCTGCGAAACTGAAGGAGGAGGTAAATTTAAATAATTTCCAAACTTGACAGAAAAAGTGCTTTGTTTCTCCACCCACTTCAAGCTTAAGTATTCTAATAAGAATCCGTTTTCTGTGTGGCCCAAATTTATAATAAGATGCCTAATTACACCTTTCTGGTGCTCGCGCCCCCTGAATTCGCCTCTGGCACAACAAAAAGGTTGTTCTCCAATTGTGGTTTCCAGCCCCTTGCTCCATTAGTGAGCCTGCGTTTGGGTGGGCTTTTTCTGACACACACACAGTTGTGAGTTGGCCTGTGCTTTTTTGAGATGCACACACTCTTCGACGAGAGCTACCAGCGTGTGTTTGATCAGCCAAGGATGGTATTCGGCTGGTATTTATAGCAGCGCCGGCACATAGCTCGGTCATAAATCAGACCCACACCTCCCAGAATTTGAATGGTGAAATAATAAAAAGCAACACTGATGTGTCAATAAACCAACCTTTCCCACAAAATAACAACTATGATTTGTTTAAAAAATAATCAAAAATTATTTAGACGTTATTTAATCAAAAAAATTAATGCTAAAATTTTTCATTTTTTAGAAAACGTCCAGCTGATCTGGATGAAGGACAAGACCATCCTGTTCACGGACAAGATCAGATCTGGCAAGGACAAGCGCTTTGAGAGGCTGGACAACGGCGCTCTCAAGATCAGCAAGGTGATGGCCGATGATTCTGGCAACTACACCTGCCAGATGGCGATCCAGTCCAAGCCTTCGATTACCCACCAGCTTAGAGTTCTTTGTAAGTTTTTTTTTCAAAAATATTTTTGAAGTGAAATATTAAACAATTTAATGAGCGTATTTTAATTTAAAAATTATTTTTAGTGGCTCCAAGAATCATCAACTGGGTGCACGGGCTTAAGAAGACCCTGAACAAGGGTGATTCTCTCACTCTGTCTTGCAGTGCCACTGGATACCCGCAGCCATCTATCTCTTGGTCTAGAAAGGTAAAAAACTAAAATTATAATTAATAATGACAATGATTTTAACTAAATAAAAATGTTATTATTAAACTTCTAATTGTAAGATATAATTTTATTGATATTTGTAAATTAAAACATTTATGATTAATTTTTTTATATCTACATATTTATATAAATTATTTGCTAGATAATAATATGATAATTTTTAAGCATTATGTTATGTGTCTAAACAAAGAACTTTTGGTATTTAAGTATATAAATAAAAATTTGCATGCAAATAATATCTAGATAGTAATGTTAAAACTTAATTGTAGGTTATCATCAATGTTCGTTAATAATTAATAATTATTTTACTTATAAATATATTTTCCTTTTAAGGGACGTCACATGCCCAATGGTGAAGACACAATTGACGGAGAGTCCATCACTTTTGAGAACGTGAACCGCAAGCACATTGGAATTTATGAGTGCATGGCCACCAACAATGTTGGCGACCCAGCCACCAGCAGCGTCGAGGTTGAGGTCAAATGTGAGTATCACACTGTTCAATTCTTCTGGTGCGTGAATCATACAAGCAGCAACAAAAACGCAGACAGGGAGTTACCTGCGTTAATATAATTAATCTGGAGGGGATGCACCATAAAAATTTGCTTCCAAATAGGAGGGGTCCCGCACCATGTAATTACCTATGATGGTGATTGAATAGTGCATTGATGCAATTGTTGCTCACCCCTCAAAAACTGCGGGCGCAACCAGCAATTATCCTCATTATAATTTTGTGGGGTCATTTTTTATGAAGAATAAAATGTAATTGAAATAAAATGGGGGGAACACTTTAGTGTAACATGTCATTACTCATTAATGAGAGTGCCTTTTCCACAGACGCACCTGAAATTGAGATCGAAAAGGCCATCGTCAACTCCGGAGAGGGCTCTGATGCTGAGCTGGTGTGTGAGGTGCACGCTGACCCCAGGCCCAAGGTGGGCTGGTTCAAGGACGGAGTGGCCATTCCCCTCAAGTCGGACAAGTACAAGATTTCCCACGCCGGCAGCAAGCATCTGCTCACCATCATCAACACCCAGAAGATGGACTTTGGCATGTACACCTGCCACGCCAACAACACCATGGGCAGAGTCGACAAGGTCGTCAAGCTTTCTGGTATAATTAAACTCAATTAAAATAAGTTGCAAAATTTATTATGTATTTTTTAATTAAAGGTGAGCCAAGCCCGGCCAGATATGTTTCCGGTGAGGAGTTGGAAAATGGACAGAAGCTCATGTGGATTGTCGAAAGCCACTCTCCTGTTTCCAAGTTCACTTTGAAGTACAGGAATAGAAAGGTATAATAATTATTCAAATTTTCTTAAATACAAATAATACAATCAATGAATAATTTTTATTAAAAATAAAAATATTAATAATTTTTTTTCAAATACAAATTCCAATTTTATTTGTAGGGAGGTGAGTGGATTGAAGTTCATCCTCCTGTCGAGAACCCTGAGGGCAATGTGTACTCTGTGGAGCACAACCTGGAGCTCACTCCTGGAGAGTATGAGGCTGTTCTCATGTCCGAGAACACTTACGGCTGGTCCGAGTCCAGCCTTCCACACTTGTTCAACTACAGTGAGTATTTTAAACGTTTTCTTGCACTATGGTTTGGTGTTTCATATTTTCCCTTTTGGAGTTTTGGTGTTTTTCAATTTAACGTTTTAAAACCCACACCCACACATCATGATCTCTTGATAATTCATCTTAACAAGATTTGCGAAATGCATTTAGCAGCATGAGAGTGAATTCCTTTAGTTTATCTTGTTGTCACTAGTCTAGGACAACCAAACTGTCAACAGACTAATCCTTTCAAACTGCATGGAATGATATGATTAATACATGCCTGTGTTCGGTAACTTTAGAGCCCAATCCTAAAGAGCGTGAAAAATTGAGGAAGAATATTAAGGTTGCCGGTGGTGGCGGAAGTTTGAAAATCAAAGGTATGAAATCCTGACTGACCAGTAAAACACATTATTGTAATATACTTTAAAATTTTGTTTTGTGTTACCAAGCACGATTCATTTTTAATTATTTTATTGTTTTTTTTTTTGCATACATCACTTTGCATGAAATGTTTAATTGATTGTTTTGGTGCACAGTATTTTTAGAGATTATTACCACTGAAAAGTATTAGTGTTTGCTAAGGCGACATACTGTAATTAATGACTTAAACAATTTCAGAACATGCTGAGGACACAAGTGGAGCGCCATCCATCAAGTCACAAGTCTTAGCCGTACTGACCATTGCCAGCCTGAGCACTTTTTTCTTGTAGTCAGTTTTGAGGTGAGCATTTGATACAATTTTTAAATAATGTGAAAATCTTTTCTAACTGCTCATATTTGTGCTTATTATTTTTTTCAATTAATTATTCACCTTTATTATTTATTTCACGCGCAATGTTTAAATTTTCTCTCTCAATACTAATACTCAGCTCTCTCGATTTACAGCATGCACCTTGGTTATAACATGACTGTGAAATCTTCTTGGTGAGTAACAAGAAAACCAATTTCATTATGTAATAATGAAAATAATTTATATTTGCAGATCACGCGTAAAATCATATTTTTCCCAAGAATAGAGAGCTGCGATGACTTTTATTGAAAACCGCTTCAAAACAGCATGAAGGAAAAAAAGAAGTCTGCCTTGGGAGCAGTACCTAGACTGAAGAGCATAAATGGCTTTTTCTACAAGCTACACTTCTATGTTATATGTCTTCACATTTTGCTCCCTTGTCACACACAATGAATGAGTGCGGATCCAACCGAGAAGAGAAAACGCAACTGAAAATAGTTTGAAACTTACTGGTGCCTTTGAAGATGAATCGAGACGCCCCAGAGCATCCGCAGATTGCTTGAGTGATTTCAATGCCAGAAATCCATCCGCCATTTCCAGTCTCTGTGGCAACATTTGTTAATTTCGCAAAGTGCTTCGGAGGTTGCAGAAACACAAGTTGAAATGAATTTTGTTACTTACGTATTGGCCCTTTTTTGCCTTTTATTTTTCATTTTTTGATCTGCAAATTTAGTGTTAAAAAGTTTCTGCTCTGCTTCGGCAACCTCCAGTTTAAAGCTGAGCACAATTCGGCTACCAGAGGACAATAATCGAGAATAAAATACAAAAGTAACAATGCCCTAGAGGTTGTTTTGCAAGAAATTCTGTAGGTATGGTTGCGAGTTGTAGTGAAGAAGCAGTGAATCAATCTAGCAAAACACAAGTTCATGTTGTAAAAAAGAATCTTGCGTGCTTTAAAAACCAACAGAAATCCACACCTGGAGCTGATCGAGTAAACTTAGTATGATATAAAGTTATTCAAGAAATCTCTGTCAAGTGTTATGAAAAATCTAGATGTTTCAGACGCATTATTCTATCTACCAAAACATTTTAATGTAAATTATGAAAATTGAAGTTGAAAGACACAGTCCTTCTAGTTAGATCCGTTTTGCGCCTAAAAATCCTCACCAATGTATACTATGCCCTTGTAGCTTGTAAATTTCTGAACAAATTATTGGCTACTCTTAGAATTTTAAAGGAATCAGTCTTTTTTTAAGATTGGCATAAAGTGCAGATTTGCAGAATTTCCTCCAAAATTGAAAACTGAACTTCTTTGCAAAATTGGATAGGATTAGACTTTAGAGAAATGAAAACTACACAACAATGCCATTTATGTGTTCTTACATGAACTATTCAGAGAGTATACAATTGATTTTAAAAGCATAATTTTTGGTTACCAAAGCACTAAAGTATAAAGATGCTACGGGTTGGTCAAATTAATTTGTTTTTAAAGCCCACTTCTATTTTTTGAAATTGCTCTATTAATCAACAGGTTTTACTTTTTAATTACCTCATTTAAACACAACAAGTTGTAAATATATATGGACGAGAAGCACACAGTCTCCGGGATGCTAACTTACAAGTAGAAGAAGAATTTTAACTCTTTACAAAATTATTGTTTTGTAAATTATTATACAGCTCGAACACATCGGTTTTTATTGCCGTCTATTTTTGTTCTCTGTTTCACTTTAATCTGGTGTGTATGAGTGTAAATTAATTTTGTCTGAGCGTTTTTATTTATATAAAAAAAAATGTATTTTTTTGATGCAAACAATTGAATTAGTTCTACTGTTCACAAACTTATCTAGCTTAGACAAAAACTCGAGCGTATTCAGCTGATTAAATATACCAAAAGAAAAAACACAAAACTGTGCGAAAATCAGGCCCTCGTCAAATCCTCACTGTATAGCTTGTTTATTTAGCGGCATTTAATTATTTTGAACAAAAGAAAATGGAAAGTGAGGAATTGACGGAGATTTGAAACCATTGATTAAATGTAATTGTTTCCGTGGTTGCATGGAAGGGTGCGTGAAAATGTGAAGCGCGAGTGATTTGCGATTGATCTAAATAATATGTATGCTAAATCGAACCTCCTCTTGTGACGAAGTTCTGTGCTCCGTGGTGGCTAATTAATTTGGAATAATAAACCCATCTCATCTAGAAATAAGATTCACGAGTTTCAAAAATTCAATGTTAGCTTTGTCTGTGCGCCAAAGCCACCAGTCTGCACTGCTTGTGATTTTGCATTGCAAATTTAAAATTGAAGCAGAGCAGCGTTGGGAATGCAAAAAATGAGATGTCAAGCACAAATATTACCATGGGAAAATGCTTGATTAAGATTTTGTGTCATTTGTTGATTGGCCACCAGCAGCAACATTGTATTATTTTAACAACAGAAATAAAAGTCTATATATACTGCAGATAATAAGAATAATTGTATGAATTGTTTTTATTTAGATCAAACCTTTAATATTCTGTGAGAGATTTTATTCTGATATTCCTTTTAATTATATCTTTCATCTTTCATAAAACTAAAGTAAAATATAGAAATGTAAGTATTTGAAAAAAATAATCATACAATTTTCTGGAAATGAATATTTTTTATATTTCATTGGTTGCCTTCGGCAGATGAAAATTTCTTTCCAAGATAAAAAAGAAGAAGCAGTGAATATGATTTTCAGCTGTAAAAAAGACGCGATATTTCATATTGCACTAGAGGGTCTACACTTTCACCATATATTTGAGTGGGAAGAGTACACTTTCGATGCCACTGGGAAAGTAATATTGAGAAGGCGCGGATTTAATAGAAGACGACATTTCTTATATTCCACTCCCGCCGCCTCAAGTTATCAAATTCGGCTCAAAAGAAATTGAACACACTTTGAGCCTTGAAGGGGAGAGATTATTACGTATATCACGGGAGACTTTAGACTTTAGCCTGGTGTATAGCTTTTGAAATACTTATGAAATGTTCCTATAATTCTGCGATAAATGATTTTATTTATATTAATTGTTTTTCTGTCAAATATAAGAAAAAATTCATTACTATTACTAACATAAATATACTATGTATAAAAGGAAATTTTGTGGGTAACCAGGAGGTCAACAGCAGTGTTGTGCATGATGCATAGTTGCTCTTATTTTGAAAAAGTTAAAAAATGTTTTAGACAAAATTTCAACTTATTAGTTAAGTCCATTTTTTCAACAAATTAAATGTCTAATAATTTTCAAAAAATTAATAGGATTTTCAAGGTGGATAATCTTTTAAGTAATTTTATACGACACCAGTTTCTTTTCATTACAGCTCGTTTATTACTCATGTCTCGTCTTAAAACCAGGTTGGCAATTTCTTTCAGCTGTATAAATTCCATTCATTGCGTCATTAAAGCAGAGTAGAAATAATCAGACGTAATCGGAAATCACACAAGTGCTGAGCTCTTCATCTACTATCAGTTTATAGAGACTCGGTCAAATGCTGTTTTATATAAGAGGGAGCTGATCAGATTACGTGACCATGCAAGAGTTGGAACACAAACAAAAGTCTCAATCATGATAAGAGAATTAATGACTGTTTCTTAACTGTCCTGTTAAAACTGCTATATTCATAAAGCGTCGCCGACAGACGAAATTATGATGTCGTCTCGGCATTATTTCATTTTGGCGAACCTTCTAATTGCGCTCCATGCTGAAAGTTCACTCGCTGTTGAGAGCGCAGATTGTCTTAATGACATCGATGAGTACAAATTGGGACTGCTAAATGGAGAACCGTGGGCCTTGAGAAGTAAGTCTCAGTATTCGTAAAAACCTGAATGTGTTTGAGTTTGAAATCAAACTTTGCGCAATCAGGGCCAAACGTGCCCATAGCAAAGGGCTAGGTGAAAGTTTTCGACAATCAATTTACAGTGTTCGACTCGGCGACGAAAATGCCGAGCGGAATTCTGGACGGAAACGTGCTCCAGATGGGCAACTACGACGAGTGTCTGGCCGTCGAGGGACCCACCAACGAGCCGCACTTCACCGGCTTTTACTGTCGCGTGAAAATTACAGAGTTGACTTTCTCGCAAGTGGCCGCGGTGGACACTTTGAAGGAACTCAATCGGACACACATATTGCAGTTGATGCATTTGCCACTACTTCACTCCTTTGAAAAGTCGCAGGTAGGTCTTGGAATTACGATAAGCAATATAAGCAATATTAAATAATTCCCTCCATTTCATATAAAAAAGTCATATTTTGTTTAATTTTAACTGTAATTAATGAAGCTGTTAAATTTCTTGGTATTGTATAACATTTTTTAATTTTTGTCTCAATAACTGTTATTTATAGATTTAGCAAATTCAGATTTTTAGAATTATAACACTTTTAATGAAGATTGCTGCTTTATAAATTGAGTTACGCAATTTAAGTAGCAAAAAATATAATTGTTTTATGAACCAAATGCTGATGCTTAATTTCAGGATTTTGACATTTAAACAATTTTATATTTAATTCTCAAAGAATATATCATGCAACATCCACATGACTTATAAAAGGATTTTTTTAAACGAATCAATCATACTTTTCAGGGTGGTAGTGTTGGTAATATTTTTCCGCAATGGGCCGCTTGCGCCCCGTCGACATGCGGCGCCGAAGGTTTGGAGACGGTGGCCAAGTACAACTTGGATACCCTGTTGTCCGAAATTGGTGGCTCCGTCCAGGTGGAGGCTGTGCAGAAATCTTGCTACGCGATTGGCGACGGCTCCGACGCATTCGACCCGGCCGCCTGGGGCCTTGTGTGAGAGAAGCCTCAATTTATGCGCTTAAAACCACCCGCTCGCTCTCTCGCAACTCATTTGCATCACAAAATGTGTGTCGTCGCTCGCTTTTCTTGCCGTCCTCAGCGTCCCTCTCACTCACTCAGGGTGGCCAAATCGTCAAGAAAATTTGACGTTATTACCCCGTTGCTGCCGTTTCAACACGGATTTGCCCTGCGGCTTGAATATTTGAATACTAACTTTGCATTTTTCCCCACTTGGGACTCGACGGCATTAGGCTCTGCTGATGCTAATTTCTTTTCTTCGTTTTTCCAGCCAAGTTGAGTTTGCACTAGATTAGAGAATTATTCCTGCCTTTTGGAATTGCAGATGGAGATTTTTCTCTCAAAATGGAATTAGTTCTCAATTTGCAAGATTTTTCATGCTGCTAAAAGTTTTGTGAGAGTAAAAATTATAGTAAAAAAGTTTACACGTCAGGGCAGAAATTTTGAAAATAACCAAGAAGTTTTTTATGAAATGAACAAAGATTAATTATTGTAGTAAAAGTTCACGATCGAGGGTTGATTCATGTTGATTTGAATTTATTAGTTAATTATTATATTTATTATTTATTAGATTCATTAGTTTAGAGGTTCTTTATTGCATATATAATCATCATCAGGCAATTAATGCCAAAATTCATCACTTATAGATTCAAAAATTTACAATTTTTAACATTCAGAGAGAAAAATAAAATTAGAAAATATTTAAAAATTTATTTTATTTTAGGGGTTTAGCCAGCTTCCTTTGTCTTCTTGTAGTGATCTCTTCGAGCTATCATTTCTACATTGAATATAAAGGTCTGTATTGAAATCAATTAAATTTGAGAAAAAATAATTTCATGGATATGATACCGATTTTCAACAGAAATTAAGCCAGCAAACAGAGCCCTCATTGCGTTTTCCGCGCAGAAAAATTTGGCTGAGCTTTTCCACATACCGGAAAACCTACCGCCAGGGTCTATTCCTTGTCTGAACGGACTAAGAGTTTTCAGTTTATGCTGGGTTTTGCTGGGTCACAGATATTCCGTTCAAACGAACAACGCGAATATTAATGCTCTTCAAATAGTTAATGTAAGATAATTTTGATTACATATTTTTTTTTAATAAAATTTAATTCAATTTTAAGGTGCTGTACAATCCTGCCAATATGATTCTTCTGAACGCGTACCTGTCTGTAGAAACATTTTTCTTCTTGAGTGGCCTTTTGGTGACCTACACAAACTGCGTCAGAGCCAACAAGGGCCATGCCTTCAATCTAATTCACTATTACGTTAACCGATACGTCCGGTACTTCTTTATTAGAGGCTTAAATTTATAAATCTGCATTGCAAATGAACAATTACTCTGAATTAGGCTGACCGTTCCGCTTTCGTTGTTGGTCTACTTTCTGGCCACCATGTCCGACAAAGTGGTGCGTGGGCCTCTGATGGACTTGTACGTCGATTGGGACGCATATACATGTCGCGAAAATTGGTGGACCACTCTGCTCTACGTCAATAACTACGTCAACAATCTGATCATTGTGAGTTTTAATTCAAACATTATAGACAAAATTTTATTATTAATATTAAATAAAAAACTAAATGTTAAAAAATAAAATTCAAATTAATTTTTTAAGTGCGGTGGTCAATCTTGGTACTTGACGGTCGATATGCAACTCGCCCTTCTAGCACCGCTCTTGATTTATCCATTGATAAGGTGGCCAAAGCCGACAATGTATGTAATCGGCTTTTTAACTTTGGCCTCGACGGCTGCCGTTTTCGCCACCACGTACATCAACAACCTCTTTTGGTCAAACCCCTCGAGACCAGAGTGAGAACCCAAAAATGAAATGCCCAAAACATAACGCTTTCTCAGGGCTATATTTTCCAACAGCGGTGTGGATTACTGGCTGTACTTCTACAGCAACACTCCAATGAGGGCAGGACCTTTCCTCGTTGGCATGGCTGTGGGATATGTTTTGAGCAACAGGGATTTCCTCAACAAGGTCAAGCTGACAAGCTGGCAGGTTTACTTGGGCTGGGCGCTAAACACGGCCATGTGCCTGGCTGTTGTTTTCACCCTGGCCATCGCGTACTCGAAGGAATACGTGGACGACAGGCTCCAGGCGGCTTTTTACGGCTCATTGCATAGACTGGGATGGTCCTTGGGACTTGCATGGATCGTCATTGCATGCTCAATTGGATGCGGAGGTAAATTAAAATTTTTATTATTATGTATTTAAAAAAAAAGGCGGCCAATAAGTGAAAACCTTCCTTTTGATAATTCAAAAAGTACAAAATCTATTATTTTATTTAAATTTATGCCCAAGATCTTAATTACGGCATTCCAAGTTAAAACTCATCATCCTGTTGACAAATTGGAAAATTCCTCTCCGCAGGTTGGGTGAACAAGATTCTTTCATGGCGCTACTTCGGGCCCTTTAGCAAGCTGAGTTACTGCTACTTTCTAACGCACTACGTCATCATGTTCTGGCACGGAGGAACTTGGCGGAATCCACACTACTTTTCGCATTTTGAGAGTGTGAGTAATTGTTATTAACGACCTCGTATACCCCGGTGCGCTCCCCAATATATGAGCAAAGTTTGCAAGCGACGCGCATAATTGATCACGTCGTCGGACGCGTTCTTTCAGGTGCACGCGTTTTTCGGTGACCTCTTTGTCGTCTTTGCGCCGTCTTTGCTGCTCTACCTTTCAGCCGAGGCCCCAACATCGGCACTTTTGAGACTAGCTTTCAAGAGGAATTGAGATGTAATTGATATTTCAATAAATAATTTTTTTTCATTGGCCCGAAAAAAATATAATTTACTGTTTACCCATAGTAAAAAAATGTTGTTTGATTCCTCCATTAAGGAATCTAATCGATCATCAATAAAAATGAGTAAAATTCTGAAGAAACATAAGAGTAATTAGAATTGAAAATTACATAGTTGAATGCAACTTCAGGCAAGGGGAGATATAATTTTTCTGGCGTATCTGATTTAATTCCCTTGTGATATCATATTTGCATTTAGCTCGACCACAGCTTAATTGAGCAGCCCTTGCTTTAGAAGAACTGTGTATTGTATGTTTAACAAATTTTCACGACGAAAAAATCCCAGCGCAGAAAAGTTAATCCGGCGGTGGACCGATCAAAGCAAAATGACGATAATTAGTAGACTTTCGCAAAAGCTGCGGCAAACAGAAGAAAGGTAAATCCTGCGGCAAAAACAGCACCATATCGCAATCCACACTGCAAACAAGCGGTATTGATGTTTGCATTTTGGCCTTGATTAAAATTTGCACAGCGCAATTCTCAAAGGGAAAGCAGCTTGTTGATGACTCGCAATCGGCACGATTCAAATTCGTCGCGGTCTCCGCGGGGAAAAGCCGACGGCGGGCCAGGTATTTGCCGGTTGGAATTTTTCCATTTTCACCATTCATTGTTTGCATTGCATTAGTGGTTTGGAATTCTGTGTTAATAAAACGACGAAAAACAGAATTTGCTTTGCAGCCATGCAATCTTTTTTATCGGTGGCACGGGTGGACTTTTTTTCTGCTCTTTTTTTGGCCCCAGTGCGATTTTATTTAAAATTAAATCAATTCAAACACAATAAGCCAACGGGATTGTAGAGTTTAAATGAGCCACTATTTACACATATTTTTTTTTAAAAAATAAAATGGATATGTATGAAATAACAGATAAATTAGAAGCAAAAAGAAAAACAAGAACTCTTGTCTCTAAAGCTAATTACTTTTTGATTTTAGAGAAAAATTTAAAAACAAAAGAATTATCACATCAGAGTGATAATTATTATGACCAACATTGAATGAAAAACATGAAAAAATTATATAATAATGTTAATTTTTTTTTTTTAAATTGAACGATAATTTTTAGTATCAAAAAATCTTAGTGTCATCTATTTTTTCATATTTTTTTTTTATTATTATTCAGGGTGATTCAGGGCATAAAAATAAATTGCAGTCAGTACCTTATCGATATATAGTATGTATATGAGGGAGGGCTGCTTTGTGTCTGCGTCAACGTCAAACTCGGCTATTAAACGCGCAAAAGCTGCTTTTTCTGATAGAGGAGTGCACCATAGCAAGGGTTGGTTTTGACTCATGAAAATAATTCCGCACTTCAAAAGGCGGAAATGTGTCTGACAATTTTACGTGCACCATTTCACAAAATACAGGCGAGCACCGCACTCGCACGCCGACGACCGACCAAACGCCCATTCAAGCGACTATAATTTCCTCTTGCAAACCATTATACACTGGAATTAAAATGCACTCGTGAGGGGTGAGGTGGAGTAAAAAAGGAAGCGCGATGGAAAATGACTACAACGGCGGCAAAATTGATCTCGACTGCACCTGTATCTGCTCGAGCGCACACGGCACAAATGGAGCAGGCAAATCCCAGCAGGCATTGAAAATAACCATAAGAGATGCACTTTAAAGACCTTCACTCATCTGATCACCGATTTTATTACAAGAAAATATTAAATTATATTATTTTTTTAAGTAAAAATTATGCTATTATTGAAAATAAGCATACCTACAATAGAATATTTTAAAGTTAAATTTTTTATGAGGTTTTTATCAGACATTTTTAATTAAAAAAAAAAGTTGCCGTTTTTACTCCTGTTGCACTTGACACTCATATATCTGTATTTTATGACGAAGGAATTTAACCCTGATAGACGATGAAAGTCAATTTTCATTTTATTATTTGTTCAGATGAAAAGAACTTTTTCTTATCCCCTCCCTCAAACAACTTACAAAAAAGACTGCTTAAAGCTTGCCAGCCGTAGATAAATTCGCCGCGAAAAAGCGCAAAGTTATTTTTGCGTGGGATTTTTTGAGTGACAGGTGTACTTGAGAAGACACCCTTATTTACCATCAATCACCCTCCCAACGCAAGTCTCTGGTCGTCTTCTCTCTATAAATACGTCACATCCACACAAAACGACTTTGACAAACAATTTGTGTAACAGAAAAGTTTCTCCCTCTTTATAATGCCGCCGATCTTTTTACGCAGCGAATAAATAAACCATTTCCAATATTGCTTGAATATTGATTCGCGCGCCGACTGTTTGTGCTCTCGGCCGCGCGCAATCATTTTTCTACTCGTTGCTGCGGCGAATCCGCTGGTGAGCATTATGTGTGTCATGTGAGTGTCACCAGAAGGGCTCTTTACTTGCTACTGAGAAATATTAATAATAGATTTACTATACGTGATTTTTGGGTTTTGAAATTGAGGTAATAGCTACAAAATTAATATTTAGCTGACAAATTATAATAATTTAAATCTAAATCATTTTTTTTTTTACATAAATCCAGTTATATGATATTTTATGTAATAATATAATATGTTGTTGAATATTAGTATAATTAATTATTTTCATTAGAGTGAGATGCAACGAAATATATATTGTTGCCCAAGTTTGAGCGTTTGATAAAAATAATTGTTTGACAAGTATAATTTAATTTTAGTTACTTGGAGAGGAAATTTGTTTGCTATTTCCTTGATACTTTAGAAAATTTTAAATTTTGGCTTGCAGCATAATATAATTAAGGGTTTGCAAATGTTTATTAAGAGTTTTTTTTAAGAAAAACAGTCAAATGAGATAATTTGAAGAAAATAAAATAAACAGTTTTTGTTTCGTAATTGTAAAATTTGCCATACAAAATTTTCTTGCCATTTTAATTATTATTATTGTTATTTATTCTTCACAAATTAAGTCAAATGAGAAAAGAAAGCAAAATGTGATGAAACGGCAACACCTCTGGCAAACAAGTTGCTAAAACGTGGGACTTCAAGAGAGGTCCGCGCCGAGATGGGCCGCAAAAAGTCTCCCAGTACCGGGAATCGAACCCGAGCCTCCTGGATGAGAGCCAGGTATCCTAGCCACTAGACCATACCGGATTATGATAAAGTAAGGAAATTATATAAAAATTTAATTTCAAAAACAAGAAATTTTTCAGCATAGCCATTTGTTTAAGAGTGCTATTTTCGCTATTTTCATTACGTACTGAAGTTTGAGAGGAAAATTTCAAGCTGTTAAAAAGTTATGCTGTCGGATGTCGGAACAAAAATATTGCATATTTTCTGAGAATCGTTAAAATATGCAGTAAAGAAATATTAATTTATGAACCGCTTTTATTATTTCATCAAAAATTGACACTTTACGGCACGCTGAATCGAAAGGTTATGCCAAAAAATTCCTATTCCAAAATGTGATAATAATTTATAAACTTTTAGCCTTTCTTCAAAGGCAATTGGGAAGCGCCACCTGCAGCAAAACAGTGCACTATGCACTCGCGCCCTTTTGTGGAGGGAAATTAGGTGGGGTGGGCGGGGTCAGTTATTGTTTACCATGTGCCAAGTTGCATTGTGTGTCGTCTTTCTGTTCTAAATTCGGTCGAAATGAGGGTTTTTCGGGCGAAAACAAGGGAGAATCCGGTCCAGCCTGGTCCAGCCTGGCAACACGCATCGACTGAGTTCAGGTTAAGCTTTCTTCCCAGCGAAAGCAGCAGGTTAGTTTCAATTTAAACTCGATTTTTTACACTCGCCAGAAGTATCAAATTTTTATATTTCTATTTCTTCCTGTCCTAAGCAAAATGCAATCGTTGTTAGCGGTTTTTAACATACATAAAACTGATTTTAACCAAAAAATACACCACAAGCGTCCTTAGCGTACAATCGTTGAAACCCTGCGTCAAGAGTGACCTGAATATCGTACAGCAATAATTTCTCTACATTTAATTGATTCATTTCAAATAGTGATCGATAAATAATGTAATCTAGAAGCATCAATCTTATCTGGGAAAGCAAAAGAGACTCTTCGCTTTTCTGAAGAGACTTTTCAAGTTAAGAACGATCAAATATCAAATGGCGCGTTTTGAATAATTTAAGCCTGCGGAATGGAGCAACAAAAATAATTTTTCCGCTATGCTCGGGCAGGGTGCTCGACGTTGAGAGGGCGCGCTTCTTTGATCATCCGAGGGGATTCCCTGTTGTGCACTTTCGGGCCGCTCATCCAGATCATCAACATGCAAGATCCAATTACTCTCAGAGAACGTGTCTATTGTACCGACGAGTCTTCAAAAGTTTCGCTGTTCCCCGCGACTCTCGAGTTTGTTTCGTCGGTGGCGCCGAGAGGATCTTATCCTGCCCACGTCTATTTCGAGGAAGGAAATTAATGAATTGCGGAGAGATCGAGCGAGGCACATGTCGGGGGGTGAATGCGCCTTCGCAGCTGAATAGACTTCTGTGTGTGCGGCCGAAACTTTTCGTCAGCAGAATTTTGATTAAATCTCGACGGTTTTTTATTCGTAAATAAATTAAACTTTTATATGAACGAAAGATTTTCATGTCGACGTTTTATTTTGGGAGCGCAAAGGTGGATTATAATAAGCGCCGTGAAACATGCTTTCTCATTGCTGAAGTTATTTGCCGGCGAATATTGCGGCTTTCGAGAATGCTGCAGGGAGGAAAGGGTTCCTTATGGTGGGAAATTCAGGCTATAACGTCAAAGTTATTTTCATTGCTGGCCCGAAAAGTCAGGAGGGCAAAAATATTTGGCCAATATGTTGCTTTATAAATGACGGCACAACTGCTGGTGAGAAGTAAGCCGCGCAGAAATCAATAATTCCGCCAACTTTTTTAATCACCAGATGCTACCGAGCGCGCCTCTCCGAGTATTTTTCTTTCTTAAGGACCTGTCAAGCAATACTGCCGAGTTTGCCGTGTCCGTTGCTACTTTGATTAGCCAAAGGTGTTGCTGGGAAAGCAAAACGTCGGCAATAAAACTTATTTCCGGTGCTTTGCCACGAGACAAATTTACTTCGCGCGAGCATAAACATGAGAGAGCGCCGGGAATTTTTTAGAGCATAAAAAGTTGTTACTTTTTATTGGGTTTATCTAGAGAGTTGTTGTTGTTCTTTTTATTTGCCAATAAAAGCAGGAAGAGATTGGAACGAGTAAAACGTCCAGGCATATAAAGCCGCTTTTATTCTCCATTATTTTAGTGTCGCGAGAGCGTCTGTTGGCTGCTGCACTGCCATGCTTTGCGTTCCGATAATCTTTTCTATTACTTCTTTGAGCAGTATGCTTATTAGATACATCTGTCGGAGATAAATGTCTATTCCCGGGATAGCCATTTTGGAATCAATTACAGTCCTTGTCTCACCAGTTGCTCTCTTGTCAGCTGCTCATAATTCCTTGGCAATCTCTCAATTTATTTTTTCGAAATTTCAAAATTTATTCTTTTCTCTCTGTAAGGTTATTTTGAATTTTAACTTGTATCATCATACAAACGATTAGCAAAATGAACAGAATCAAATTAAGGTATGAACGAGTTTTTTTGTTGAAAGTATAAACTGATTTCAAAATATGTTTCGTCCAATTTGAGACAACCAAAAGAAATGAGATCATGTTTTCCTTCATCCGTGCTTTCTTGTAGACCAACTCTGCACTATTTTAGAGGTTCCGGGAGTCTAAAGTAATCCAAAGAAATCCGCGCTACGTGGCAAAAATGGTGCTCGTCGTTCTTCTTTAAGATAGCGCAGAGCACGTCAATAAATTCCAGGCAAAGTACCTCTACGTGTTAATTGTGGACTTGCAGAAGCGTGAGGGTCTTAAAATTTATGGCAGAATTGAGGCGGTAAACAATTTTGAGCGGAGCAGGCAAATTTGCTCTCGCGTGTGCTTAACAACGATTTAATGACGTCTGCGCGATGCCCTTGGCTGCTGCTGAGGCGAAACAAACCCCCGGCAGTCTCGACATAATCAGCCCCTAATATCAGAAACAAACTCACGACCAACAACACGCTGACCGACAGGACCTTATTGAATATTATTATGTGGTGTGGAGCGACCCGAGATAATGCGACAACGCCGAATTTGGACACACGCAACGTGACCAGCCCTACAAAGCAGTGGCATTCTTAGGCTAAAAATTTGAATTAAAAATTAAATGAATTAAAAATGTAGCAAAACAATGACTAAATTTTAAATAAATTTAAAAAAAAATCGGCAGGGAATATTTTCTCACGAGGAAAAAATCACATATTCTGAAAAATTTCAGTAATAATTTTTTAAATCTTGAAATCATTAAAATATTTTAAAAGATTTTAATGCAATCTTCTTATATTTACTGATTTTGTAATTTTGTAAAGCCATAGAATTTTCTCTAGCAAGAAGTTACGCCACTGACATGAGTTGCAGCTTGTAGGCAAGCCAAGTCCCTTGCTTCGCCTTTCGGGAAAATAATAATCATATTTGATGTGAATTACGAGAGGGACGTGGCGACATTATCGTTTATGGGCAGCATTAAAAAAAGTTAGCAGCGTTCGGAAAGCGGCGCTAAACTCGGTTACACGCACCATGGAGTTACTTACGCCGGTACTTGTTGGCAAGTCGGCGAATTTATGCAGTCGTTAGTTGCGACACACGCGGAATTAAATTAAAGGGGGGACAATGGCTGGCGTAATGACGACGCGGCCAATGGACCATCTCTTTAATTCTCGTTCCCTTTTCCTTTCGGCCAATTGAGAACAGGAAAAGGATGCGCAGAGTGGAGGAAGAGAAGAATGCCGAGAGGCCCGCTGGTCACCGAGAAAACGGCCAACTAGGGTCGCTTGTTCTTTCTTTTCTGTTCCGCTCCTCTTGTCTGCCTGGCGAAATATAATATGACCACTCTAGGGCAGTTTCCTCGGAGAATGCCGCCGACTTTTTCCCAGATATTAATTTCGGATTCAACGTTTTTTTTCTCAATTACGCTGCGTGACCGTTTCCTGCCTTGTGAATGGCCGCATTGCGCTTCCTGGTATAAAATATTTATTAATCAAAAAGCTCGAGTGCAAACCGAATACATTTTTTTTTACTTTTGAACTAGATAAAATAAAATTTAAAATCTGCTGAACTAAAAAATTTCACACAATATTAAATTCTCTAACGAGTAAAAATTGTAAAAAAAATTATTATTCCAATTTCTAAAAAAGAAAAAATATCTCATTTTACATTTAATAAATGTTTCATAAGTTGAATGTATTAAGAGAAAAATATGAAATGTCCAGATCCAAAATTTTTTTCTGCAACCCACGATATTCTGGCCATCTTTTAAAATTCCCACAATTCAGAAATGTTTTAAAAATGAAAAATAACTTTCAGAGATTTTTTGTTTCCAAATGGAAATGATTTAAAGCGAAATGTAATGATCAATCTATTTTCGCCAGAAACACCATTAAAGTGTGACGGGAAAAAAACAGTTGTGATTGCAAACCGTTCCAGGCAATAAACTTTTCAGCGCTGGTGAAATATGCTGAACAGCCAATTGACCTAGTTGCGGCGAATTTTTCCCTCTCTCATCTCCGTTTTATTCAATAATAATTCCCATCGAAGGAAAAATTGCTCGCAGCATCTCTGCACTGCTGCGCTGTTATTATTATTATTAAGGCGGTGGCAAAACCACTCGATATCTCTTAAGTTTCTTTTTCTCTATAGCCGCGACTCTTCCAAGTCGAATAATGCATTTATAAAATGCACACCATGTCGGCTTGGCAGGGCGGAATTACCGTGGCTTATACCCGAGCGTGGCTGTGGCTCTCATTTCATTTAGTTTTCCATCAGCGGCATGATTGATTTATTAATATGGCTGCTGCAAAAATATCAAGCCAATGTACACATACATCCACCGTCGTAAAACAAAAAATTATGAAACACCGCGTGCTGCAGCTATTGCGCGTATAAATCATTTTAGCAGTCAGCTGACTAATATGAATTGCACCCCCGGCCTTGTGCGCGCACTTCATATGCGGCGTGCATTTTGACGTCCTTGATGGAGCTTGCACGGGGTGGATATCTCTCTGCGATGGGAAATGAATCATTGCAGAATGAATTGCAAACAAGGTTTAAATCGAGGGTAGGTGCTCTGGTTGCATTTTAAGCGGCGCCAGCCCGCAAGAGCTAACATATTGACTTGATGGATTTATGGCGGAGGGAGAATAGTGTGGTTCATTAACTATATGCACTGATGAAAATTGTTTGAAGTTAGTCTAGCTAATTTTAATTTTCTCTGCTGTCTCTAGAGTTTGTGGTTCGTTAAGAGTAATTTATTACACGAATACTGTTTAAAATGCAGATTTTTTTATAACTTTTAACGATGATAATAACAATAAACGGTGATAATTAAACATATTTTATTTATTTCTGGTGTATGTATAAATGCAAAAAATGCAGATGCAAAATCGGCCAGCGTTAATATTTTTTTAATGAAGTAAAAATGATATTAGTCTGTTAGAAGTCACTCAAAAAAATAAGAACACTAATTTTTGTGTTTTTGTATTATTTTATATGTTTTACACACATTTTCAATATATATTATATTGATTATTATCAATCTTTTAAAAAAATATTATTATTTTTATTGTTTTTAATGATTGCATTTCAGAGCAAATTCATAATGTCATACAAAAAATTAAAATTTAAAAGGTTTAAATGTTACATTTTTTGAAAAAGAATTGTAAAAGCCTTT